GAAGCTAAAACAGAAGGATTCATAGTCTGTCTGGGCTACAAAATGAGCTCAAACTGGTGGAACCGTGTCTCAAAATAAAAAAGCTAAAAGACAGGACTTGAGACCTGGGTAGTGATCAATTGGTAAGGTGCTTGTCTAGCATGCACAGAGTCCTGGATTCAATGACCACCGATGAATAAACCAGATGTGATGATTCATGCTATAATCCCAGCATTCAGAGGGTGGAGACAAGAGGATCAGGAGCTCAAGGCCATTCTTGCCAATACAGCAAATTTGAGACCAGCCTCAAGTCAACATCAACTACGAACTGAGATCAAGGCCAGCCTGAATTCCAAGGGAACAGAAGGAGGAGGAGGAAGAGGACAAGGAGGAGGAAGAGGAGAGAGAGAGAGAGAGAGAGAGAGAGAGAGTCTAGGTATGTAGTTCAATGGTAGAATGCTTGCCTGGCAACTGCAAGGCCCTGGGTTCAATCATTCACAGTGAAAACAATTAGGTTAAAATGATTTTGTTGTTTTAAAACTTTACCAAGGTCACACTGTGAGTATGACTCAGGAACTATGAAATGAACTGGGTGTGGTAGCACATGCCGGTCTGTAATCCTAGTACTCACTGGTGGAAGCAGGAGGATTACAACTTCCAAGCCAACCTGAGCTACACAGGAAAACCCCCACCCCTGTTTAAAAATAAATAAACAGAAAGAAAAAGCAAACAAACTATAGCATGCCCGGGGCTACATCGACTGAAACAGGACTGGCGCCCAGGCAGCTCCAGGGCTGCTCTATTGCACGGGAGGCAGGACAGTCAGGTCTGCAGCAGCTGCGTGGGCTGCTGCGTTTGGAGCTTCCACACTCCAGCATCTCAGCCTCAAAATGTCTGTTAGCCTGGAAGCCACAGACTGACCAGGCAGAGGACTGGAAGTGGCTACTGACTTGCTACTCTTTTACCAAATGACCGACCACAGCTGACCCCAACAGCAAGCTCTGTTGTGTGCAAACTGGTTTTTAGATCTCAGAGAAATGCCAAAATTCCCTTGTGATTTAAAGGTGAATGGCAGGGCAGGTAAGGCTGATTTCTAGAATCCAAAAGAAACCATGTTTACAACGATATCCAGCTTCCAAGTCCAAAAGAAAGGGAATACATAAGCTATTGTTTGAGGGCCCCGACTGTGTGTGTGTGTGTTTGAGAAAGTCCAGATAGATAGATAGATAGATAGATAGATAGATAGATAGATAGATAGATAGATATTCCAAGATTTGCCTTTGAACTTGTTTTGTAACCCACATTGGCCTTTTGCCTAATGAACATCACCAAGCCCAGCTCCTGAAAACTACTTTATTCAGTTGTTGTTTATTTGAATTTTGTTTTTGAGATAGGCTCTTGATAGAAAGGCCAGGCTGGCACAAAGGTACTTGCTATATAAACCAGGATAATCTAGAACTGCAGCAATCCTCCTGCCTCTGCTTTCCCAGTCCTAGGATTCTAATGATAAACCACATGCCCAGTGCAAGTTAGTTTCTAAGGAAGCATCCATGATGAAGAGAAAGAGAGACAGAGACAGAGACAGAGATCCCTGTGAAGGTAAATGCAGCTCTCTTCCTGTAGTTTATCAAGGCACACGGGACTGAGAGACCAGGGGATAAAGCTGATAGTCTCCAACTTGACGTAGGACCTGACTTTGATCCTGAGTCCCACATGGTGGGAGGAGAGAACTGCCTCATGCTTGTCCAGTATTCAGGCCCTTTGAGGAAAGGGATCCAATACTAGTCCCCTCTAAATTCTCAGATGCTTACTTAACCAATGATGAAAGAAATTGAAGAAGAAACAAGCACTTTGTTAGGAAGGCAAACGTCATAAGAAGACAAAACTTGCTCCCAAGAGTGAGAGTACTGTCTACCATGATAGCCACGAAGCAAGCCAGTGGCCTTTGCCATATTTTGTCCATTTTGTTTACCAGTCATTCTTTGCTGCCACTCTCCCCACCCCATGCAATCTAGTGGAAGCCCAGCAATATGGCAGCTGGTGCAAGTTATCCCATAACTCTTGGGAAACACAGTCTTGGAGACTCAGGTGGGCCAGCATTGGGGAAGGGATCTTCAAAAACTCAATCAGAGCATAGGTTGGTGGGAAACCTGAATTCCTAACTTCTAAGGAGGCTGAAGCAGGAGGATTCAAAGTTCCAAGCCAGCCAAGACAACTTAATGAGATCCTGTCTCAAAAATAAAAAGAGGGCTGAGGATTGTGGATCAGCAGCAGAGACCCTACATTCAATCCCCAGTACCAGTAAAAATCAAAAGTAAACAAAATAACAATAAGGCAAAGTATTGGGAGGATGTCATAAAGACCAGATGTGTGGCCCAGCATCATGGCTTGGGGACCTGTGAGCACTCCAGCATGACTGGAATGAAGGATGTCCTGTGGGAATAAGGGGGCACCAAGACAGAAACCAGATCACACAAGCCACCTTATGTGTTAAGAACATGAACTTTACCCTGAAAGTCATGAGGAGCCACTGGAGAACTTCAAGAAAGAGAACATGATCTGATTGTGTGTGTGTGTGTGTGTGTGTGTGTGTGTGTGTGTGTGTTTTAGACGGGCACTTTGAGCTCACGCTGGCACAGAAGAAAAAATATCTAAGACAGGAAGACAGGAGGTGACTGCAGCCGGCAGTGAAAAACCTCAGCCATCAGATATATCAAGGATGTGGGCAACCTGTGTAGCGGCCAGAAGTCAGCACAAAAACTAGGAGGGTGGGTGGGAGCAGGAGGAGATGGAGTCCAATGCTGGGCACCCCAGAGGTGCAAGCTTTGAGCTTGGAACAGTAAGATGGCTTGGGATTCAGTGAGCCCCCAATGATATTCAGAGAGGAAAAGAGGAGCTATCTAGGAACCTGTCCTCTGTATATGATGTGGCCATTTGGGTCTTTTTTTTTTTTTTTTTTTTTTGAGACAGGGTCTCTCTATTTATCCCTGACTGGCCCAGCACTTCATATGTAGACCAGGTTGGCCTCGAGCCACAGAGATCTACCTGCCTCTGCCTCTAAGAGTGCTGGGATTAAAGGTGTGCATCACCTTGTTTGAGCCCCATTGTGTTTCTTGAAAACAAAGCCCCTATAGTTATTCACAAGAGGCCCTCATGAGATAGGGCCTATCAACAACATTCCTTTGAAGCAGGAGCAGCTGAGAACCACTGTCCCCCATGTAGCCCCAGCCCCAGCTGCCCCAGGTCTTGAGAGGTGCTAGAACATGTAAGAGGTGGAAGGGTAAGCAAAGAGACTCCAAGTAAGGCATAGTGATCTATGTCGGCAGACCCAGCACTTGGGAAGATGAGGCAGAAGGATCTCAAGTTTGAGACCAGCCAGGGGTACATTATGAGTTTGGGGACAGTTTGGACTACAGAGTAAGGCCTTGTATCAAAAACAACAAAAACAAAAACATGGAGCCTGGAGAGATGGCTCAGTTAAAAGAACTTGCTGCTCTTGCTGAGGACCTGGGTTTAGTACCCAGCACCCTCTCCAGCTCCAGGGGATCCAATGCCTCTGTTCACCGGCTCCTGCACTCATACACATACCACACACACACACACACACACCATAGTTAAAAACAATAAAAATAGTTTCAGAGGAGGAAGGAGAGAAGGTTTTGAATTCCTAGGCCCTGGAATGCCAGGAGCAGGACCAGGCTCTGACATCCTGAGCCGGCTCCTTCCAGGCTGCGCATCCACAGCCCGGAAGTCAGGGCATTTTTTTGGTGCCACTAGATAATGAAGGTTGTCACTCTTAGTTCCCACCACTTCTCTCACCTGCATCTGGGGTGGAGACTGAAGCTGCCCCGGCTTTGTTGATGGCTTTCTTGGGTTTATTCTGGTCATTGTACTCCAGGGCTGAGGGCTGGGCTGGGCCCTAATGATAAGGATAAAGATGATTATAGAGTCGCTTAACAGCCATCCCATGGATTAACATTTCTCAAATATATACTGTAGGTATGTAAAAAAACAATAGAGAAGCCACCTTCCCAAACTACTCCCAACACCTCCCAGGCCAGCTGTATCCTTGCCTGGAAGCTCTGGCTATAGAGAAGACAGCAGAGGGCCCTGAGCTCAGAGTCATCCTTCTGTGAAAGTCACAAAAATTTCATACAAAGGGGACACTGTCTCTGGTTCATCAATCACCAGATCTAGTCCATGTCCTCAAGGACTTTGCAGGGACAGAAGGAAAGAAACAAGACACAGTTCAACACTGTGACCAACGTGTAAGGAAGAAGTTTTGTTGGACTAGCAAGCTGGTCATTACTGTCCATGGAGCGTTTTCTCTCTATCCAGCACTAAGCTAGATGTCATGGGACAGGACATACAACAAATAGGCTGCACTCTACAAGGAGTTCCTGAAGGTTTATGAGGTCTATCTCCAATCCAGGAGTCATCTCCATCCTAGACAGAGGCATCCCCTCACATAGGAGAACCCACAATGCCTTGGGAGTTCCTGGCCGTAGCCAGAGTCCATCTGACAGCAACATGGAAATCAACTCATGGAGAACTTAGTTGCCAGCAGTAGCTTCAATAGGCGACTCTTTCCCTGTCATTGTAGAAAATCATCTTAGAGATTCGTTTATTTATTTGTGTCTGGTCTGTGTAAGTATATGCACAGAGGTAGGGGTTCAAGCCTGTGCAAACTCAAGAAGGCCTGGAGGGGTGTTGGGCACCCTTTTCTATCACTCTGCCTTCTATTTTGGAGGCAGGAGCTCTCCCTGAGTCTGGTCTGTTCGTTTTCTCAGCCTGGTGGAAGCCACATGAAGTGTGGTTTGGATTATTCTGTTGTTCTTCAGTTGTTTTTGTTTTTACTAATTAGAAAAAAATCAGTGCTGGGGTTACAGGCATTTGCAGGGACACCTAGCTTCTTACATGAGTACTGAGATTAGAACTGTGGTCCTCATGATTGAAGAGCAAGTACTTTTAACCCCCAAGGAATCTCCACAGTCCTTCATCCTATGAAATTTCTCTTGCAGAGCACAGCCAGGCACACCGGTCATCTCAGCAGGAGGATCAGGAGTTCAAGGCCATCTTTAACTACACATCCAGTTTGAGACCAGCCTGCTGAGCCATCTCTCCAGTCCATAAAAGCATGTCTCAAAAAAGAGAGGGGGTTGGAGACAGCTCAGTGGTGAAGAACACTTGCTTTCTCTGAGGCTCTGTGTTCTGTTTACGGCACTCATAAGTGCTTCACATCTGTGACTTCAGTCCCAGAGGATCCAACCACTCTCTGGCTTCCTTGGGCACTGCTCATGCATACAGTGTACATGTACATTCAGGCCAACACTTGAACACATAAGATTAAATAAATACATCTTAAAATTTTTTAAACACAAAACTTTTTTAAAAGAAATAAAGAAAAGAAAGCAAAAGAGAAAACAAATTGCTCTCCCTCCTAAAACTAACTTAAAGGTTAATGGATGGAATGAGTTGAGGCCCTTCAATTTCAAATTTGTGAATTATCTGACTCACAATTCCTTCTTACAGGTGGACTTTCTTCCCTGTCCCAGTTGGTGAAGTCACTTAAACTTTTCCTGACCATAAGTAATAAGCAAATTCTTCACTACTCTTTCTCTCTGGCTTAGAGCGACAGACTGCTTGCCTCTGCATCCCAGAGCCTAACACAGGCTTCTAGGCATGTGGAGACATTTGTGACCTGGATGAAAGACAAATGGATGAATGAGTGAGTGAATGAATGAATGAGTGAATGAATGAATGAATGAATGATTAAAAAATGCTCTTTCCACTAAATGTTTCCATCCCTCTTTCACGGCTTAGGGCATCAGAGCTGGAGAGATAGCTTAACGGGCTGGAGATGGTTAAGAGAACTTGTCATTCTTGCAGAGGACCAGGGTTTGGTCCCTAGCACCCACAGCTGGCATCTCACAACCATTTGTATCTCCAATTCCAGGTATCTGATACCCTTTCCTGGACTCCATGGGCACAGACATGCATGCAGGCATTTATGCATGTGCAGAAAATAAAAATGAATACATCTTGTTTTTAAATGGCATGAAACTTCTAAGGCTCTTAAAAACTGCACATGGGTTAGTCCCATCATACTCATTCTCTTTTATCACACATTTCCAAAATTCCTGGTATATTAATCAGATATGAAATCGTTTTCAAAAAACAATCATGGCTTTCCCAGAAAGAGTTTGGTTGAGCAAGTATTTGATAACTCTTTTCTTTCAGTTTTTTTCAGTTTTCAGTATTAAATGCATCTCAGAGTAAGTCCAAATAACCACAGAAGAGAGGAATGCTTTTTCCCTTTCAGCAACAACAATGAAATAATAAGGGCAAACACATCAGCACTGACCATTTGCCAAACAAGGCCACATAGTTTTCATTCACACGTTAACTCCTTACAGCTCTGGAGACATGCTATGCAATCATGAAATTCCAGGTCAAGGGTTCAACAGCCTCTTCTGACCTCGCTAGACTCTTGCATGCATAGGTGCACAGACACACACTCAGGCACATACATACACATAAAATAACTAATTTTTTAAAGGTATGAAGAGGTAGAGAGATGGCTCCGTGGTTAGAATGCTTGCTGTGCGAGAGCGAGGACCTGAGTTCAGATCCCTAGAAACTAACATAAATGCTAGATAGGCATGACAGCCTGTCTGTGATTCCAGTCTCAGAAAGCAGCAACAGGGAAACCCAAGCAAGCTGTCAAACAAGACTAGCCATGTCATCAAGCTCTGGGCTTCCTTGAGAGACTTAATAAGATTGAAGGACAATCAAAAACATGCATCCATGCAATTCACATCACACACACACACACACACACACACACACACACACACACACACACACGGAAAAAGGGGGGAAAATTGCATGGAGTTTCCAGCCAGTCAGGAGGTTGGGGCAGGAAGATCAGAAGTTTAAAACAAACTTCAACTCATAAGATCTTGTCTCAAAAAGAAAAATAATGTGGAGTTTATGGTGTCATAACCTTGGGGAAAGGGAGATGTCCAGAAGAGCTACCTGGGAAGAAGAAGCATGGCTGAAGTCAAGATAATGCAAAAGTGGGCTCTGGGCATCTCTTGGTGTCCAATGAAAGAGGTAGAGATGGGAGAGACTTAAGCCTTTAGTGCAGATGTGTGGCTGGCCTCTCATTAAATGGTGTCCAGGTCTGCTCCAAGCAGTTGTACAAGCTAAGGAATCTTCAGCTCCACTACTCTTTTGTCACTCCCCAGCCTTCAGGAGGAACTGAGAATGGGTGGCCAAGCTCTGGTGTGGTTTAGGAATACCTTTTGAGAATGCCCTTCCTGCATGAAACCATCTAGAATGTGGATGGCCAAGGGAGAGGAGAGGACAGAGAGTAGATGTGAAAAGAACATGGATGGAACAAATCACAGAGAGAGAAGTCCATGCAGTTGCCAACTGTGTCCACGTTAGGCGAGCATCTCCCTTCATAAGTCATCTGGTCCCAGACCAAGGCCCACCCAAGTCCTCACAGTGCTGAAAATCCATGTAGCAAAGCCTGCAGGTACCCAGGCCCTTGCTTCCAGCTATTCTGTCCCCAACTAGCTTCAAACTTTACTTCCTACCTAAACAAACAGAACAGGGACTGGGGTAGGCAAAATGAACTGCACAGGGGCCTGATACGAAAAAGTGGAACTGAGTTTGTGGCCTACCCAAAAGATTAAACATGGTTTAATTGAACCCATGTCATTTAAAGGGAAAAGATTAGGGCCGTAGTGTATCCCAGACCAATTGCCCCCAGAGAGGGATGGCAAAGGGACAGCCATGGAAACAAAAGATAAATGACTCCAAGATGCTGAAATTGCAGACATCCTTGACAAGCCGGTAGAGGAGATATTTCTGGCTAGGGCAGCCTGTCCTAAGGCTCTCAAATCACACACTTCACAGGACTTGGTTGCCCCACCTAAGCCTGGCCTAGCCAGCTTCCTTGAGTGTGGGTTCACACGGGTACTACAAGGCTGGCATAATCTGATTGGCCTGGAGATGCATGGTTGCTAGGGAAGACGGTTTCATTAATGTCCTGAATCAGGTTTGAACCTGTTCCTTCCATTCCTACGTGCAGGTCCTTGTATAGCCCTGGGGTAAGACACAGGGTCTGATCAGCCAGTCTGATTGCTCCAGTGATTTGCAAAATCCAGTGGGTTTTAAATTGCTAAACCTGGCTGGCCATATTGGATATCAAATTAAAGAATTACCTTAAAGTCATTTTGTTTCCCCTTGGAGATAAAATAACCAATGTTGAGATTCCCGAATTCCCGTTGCCCCAGTGGATAATCTTTTTATCTCAGTTTTATCCAGAAGAAAGATTGATCTCTGTGGAAGAGAAACCCACAGGAGAAATCTGATGAGGCTGAAGGAGCAGGCGAGGAATCAGGAATGCCAGTCCGGCACAAATCCATGACCCAGTCATTTCTTAAAGACAAGGTTTCTTGTATCACAGGTTGGTGTTGAACTCTCTATGCATCTGAGAATGACTTGAAGTGTTGAGCCTCCTGCCTCTACCTCTCAAATGCTAAGAATACAGGCATGCATGTGCCACCATGCCCAGTTTACATAGTACAGTGATAGGAATCAAACCCAGCAGATCATGCATGGTAGGCAGTCGCTCTACCGATGGAGCTACAGCCCCAGCTCTCACAATTGCTTTTAGAAGGACTTTGTCTCAACCCCAGAAACATGAACATATGTTCGGGAGACTACAAATATGTTTTCTGCACTCACATGCAGTATGTCATAGCCAAATGCTTCCTAGCAAAAGACACAGGACTTTGTCTCGTTTTGCAGTGGTCTGCACTGGCAACCTGGCCACTGTCATGTGTCTGGCAGGCTCAAAGAAAACCGGAGGGCAGGCAGTGGGGACAATCAGCTGTAATAAAGACACGGCCAGCCATCACGTTCTCGGAGGAAAACATGAGTCTCCACATTCTGGCTGAGTTCTTCTTGGGAGTCAAAAATCTCAGGAGGAAGGGAGGGGGGTGGAGGGAGAAAGGAAGAGAAAGAGGAAGGGAGGGAGAGCAAATAAAGGTGTTTTATTTTAATGTCTTAAAACAAAACCTGAGGCTAGGGAGATGGCTCAGTGGACACCAGCACCTGCTGCATGAGCATGGGGAGCAGCGTTAAAATCCGTAGCACTTGTGTACAAATCTGGACACCGACACTCACCTGAAACCCCAGCATGGTCAGGAGCAGAGACAGGACTGATGGGGCTTTACTGGCTGCTAGTGGAGCTCCAGGTTCAGGGAGAAACTCTGTCTCAAGGGCATACAGCAGAGAGTGACAGAGCAGGACACCGGATGTCCTCTTCTGGCCTCCATGCATGCTACACTTCACCAATATATGTTGCATACATAACACACTCATATACTACACACACTCACACATAATACATACTTGTATGCACACAGTGGGGAAAAATAAAATAAAATATATATACATTTGTAGTACTACTCAGAATTTCATCTCATTGAAAGATGCATATGCTGCCAGGTGGTGGTGGTACACACCTTTAATTTCAGCACTTGGGAGGCAGATATCTGAGTTCGAGGACAGCCTGGTCTACAGAGTGAGTTCCAGGACAGCCAGGGCTACACAGAGAAACCCTGTCTGAAGAAGAAGAAGAAGAAGAAGAAGAAGAAGAAGAAGAAGAAGAAGAAGAAGAAGAAGAAGAAGAAGAAGAAGAAGAAGAAGAAGAAGAAGGAGAAGAAGAAGAAGAAGAAGGTGTGTGTGTGTGCATTTGTATGTTGAAATAAGGTCTTGCTATGTGGAACAGAATGGCCTTGAATTCATGATCTTCCTACCTCAATCTCCCAAGTAGTGGATTTATAAGCCTTGGGCACCATACCTAGCGATTATTTATTTAGGGGATGAGAAATAGCTCACTGGTTAGAAACACTTATGGCTCTTTCATGTAGCTCACAACTACCTGTAATTCCTGCTCCTCCTACAAAGGCATTCATTCCAGTGCAAGTGAGCACACACACACTTTAATTATTTTGGAGGGATTTCTTTGTTTTAAATATTTATTTATTTGAATGTATATGGGTATTTTACCTGCATGTATGTCTGCATACCATGTGCATACCTGGTGCCCTCAGAAGCCAAAAGAGGGCATCAGATCCCCTGGTGTTACAAATGGCTATGGGTCAGGAACTGAACTTGGGTTCTCTCCATCTCTCCAGCCCCTATTGTATTTGGAGACAGGGTCTTGCTTTGTTGCTCAGGCTGGTCTCAAACTCCTGGGCTCAAGTAATCCTCCAGCTTCAACCTTCCGAGTAGCAGGAGCTACCGGAGCCTAATGCCACTATAGTTTTGTATTGTTTGCTTGCTTGCTTGTTTTTGAGGGGTGGTGTTGTCAGGGTCTCACTGCATAGCTCTAGTTGTCCTGGATCTTTTAACATATACAAGGGTGACCTTGAACTCACAGAGATCTGCCTGTCTCTAACGCAACAGTGCTAGGATTAAAGGCATGTGCCACCATTCCTGGTTCTATTTTTTTTTCTTTTAATAAATTCCTGGCTCTATTTCTTTCTTTTGATAATTGATTAAAAAAAAAAAAAAAAAACTAAAACAACTGAAGGGCAACAGAAAAACCCAAACCACACTTCATTGACTGAAGCCATGACTACCATGTCAGATGCCTGCCTGTAATTTGGGACCAAATTGATAACTTTCTTCCACTCACCCTTCTCCCATGGCAGCTACCCATAGTCCACCCTCCTCAGACTTTAGGTCCTCACTTTCTGTGTCTCCGAGCTTCTACCTGGCCTCCTTTCTACCTGCATACCATTCTGGAAGCTAGAACGGTGCAGATCTGAGGAGTGACACCAAGACCTTGCATTCCTACCACAGCTGAATTCACACTCCAACAGTTCAAGGAGAGCAGCTGGCCTGCAAAAACCTCAACAATAACTCCTAGAAGAAAAATATAAAAACAGTGCTGGCGTTTGTTTCTCGGCTTCTGTTTATTT